CCCCCCCCAGTCCAAAACAGTCCAGTGGTACCTTTAAGACCAGGTTTTATTCAGGTACAAGCTCTCCCTCTTCTGTGAGGGCAGATCTGCACCTTCCCCCCCCCCCCATAGCTAGCAATCCAAAACAGTCCAGTGGAGCCTGAGCGGTGGGTGTTGCCTTCTGACACACTTCCGGTGATGCCAGGGGGTGTGGCATATGCAAGTAAGTTATGCTAATGAATTATCCTAATGAGCTCCTGCACTTCTTTTTCTACGAAATGCCCTCTGATTATGAGTATTTCCAATGGCTGAGGCCTCATCTACATCCTTTTATGAGTATTTCAAATGGCTGAGGCCTCATCTACATCCTTGTTCCTGATTAGTAAAAGGAATGAATTAGAGTAGGACAGAAAGTGCAAGAGAGATTCTTTTAAGGCTAAGTCAGGTGTCTCTTCCTCTCTTCTGCCCTTTAACATTTATTTACAGTAGTTCATTCAGACTTCACAAACAAACCCAAACAAACATGCTCAAACCAGTGTTCCCGCTAAGCTGAGTTAGTGTGAGCTAGCTCACAGTTTTCTAGTCCCCGGCTCATACATTTTTGTCTTCGCTCAGGAAGGATGGCTCCAGAGCAAACTAATTTATGCAGCAGCCAAATCACTCACTCACAACTTTAATGCCAGTAGCTCACAAAGTAGAATTCTTGCTCACAAGACGCCACAGCTTAGAGGGAGCATTGGCCCAAACCCAAGTCTGTTTGTGCATGAATCTGGATAACTGCTATGCTTGCATGCTTCCTGTCTCCTCCTCTTTTGCAGCATACCAAGAATGAAGATGAAAGTCTTCGAACACACACTAATTTGTCATGACATTCAAATGTGGCGCTGCAACAAACTGAGGCTTGTTTCTTTTGGAGTAAGTGGCATTTAAGCCCTGGCCACTGGGAAAGAAGCAAACCTCCATTAATGAAGGTGCCTGTGTTTTGACACTGCAAAAAGCTGGACCCAATTCAGTCTTGACATGCAACTTGAAGAGACTGGAAAGGAAGAAGGGAGAAAACCCAACAATTGTCAGATTTGTGTCTATTAAGACAAAATCCTGGTTTGTTTGTTTGATGTCAGAACTGAACCTTAACAATGAAAAAACCCCCACTATGACATCATAATTTTGTGTGGTTCTCTGCACTACTTTACTTCCTTGGTTTATCATTTGCAATTTGCATTGCTCCAAGTTAGAACTTGGAGGGGGAAGGGGAAGAGGATATGCAGGTCGGCTGTTTTGAGGGGTAATCATGTATAGGCCAGAATGGCTAGGTCTGGCCCTAATGCAATATATTTTCTTGGACAGTTCAAGTTATGTCTGCATCATAAACTGATTTAAGCCTCGTGTGTGTGGGGGAAAAACCCACAGCCCCTTAAACAAATTAAGTCTTGGTTGAGATACTATTCTACAGGGTGATAATTCCTCCAACCCAGTTCTGCATGATTAAATTCTACTGAAGTCAAAATAACTTAGACATCAATGATGCACTCACACTCCCTCTCAACTTTAATCTCATTGGGGGGGGGAAAGCAATTTCTTCCTGTTTCATTTTCTGTAATAGACCATGTAGATTTTATATCCATACACACCATGAGAGACTGGACTATTAGATCGCCTCTGTAATTCCTGCTACCAGCACAAGAAAATAAAGAAAGAATGCCAAATAGAATACAAATAGCTATAAAAGGATCTCTCCAAATGTGGGGGACAGGCAATGGCATGGTAAATAATGACAGGTCAATGTGTTAATGTGATCTGTGTGTCAATGTGATCTGCCTTGAGTCTCAGTGAGAAAGACAAACCACAAATAAAGGAAATACAATTAGATTCTGTAAAATGATGAGTATTGAGATAACCCCACACCCAAATTTCAGAGACATACTAACGTAGTTTGAATAAATTTGTGAACACACGCATGGCTTGGCTCCTCCAGTAAGTCATAAAAATAACCTACCAGGAGCAATGAATTGTAAAATGTCCTCAACCTATGTAAACATGAAGACATAACACAAAAGCCAAAAGCCTCCAATAAAACCCAAGGGTAATCACAAGATCAGCATAAAACTATAGAAACAAAGCCAGCCAAATGAAAATAATCTACAGGTCATAAAACAAATAATAAAATGGCCTAGGCAATAAAGCAACAAACTGTGCTGAGGATGGACATTCAGATAAAAGACTTGGCAAAGTAAGTGTCATTAATCTGCCATCAATGCGATTGTTGCGCATCTTGGGTATTTTAAGTAATTTATTGTAGCACCGTTTTTAATATGTAACATTGTTTTTTTGTCCTATATTTTTAAATCTTAATTGTTAGCCGCCCTGAGACACTATGTGTAGGGTGGGATACAAGTCGCAAAATAAATAAATAAATAAATAACCTGTTGCTGAAAAAACAGGAAAATGGGCACTGGTCAAATTTCTATGGGGAGAGCACTTCACAGACTAAGTGCCACCACTGAGAAAGTCCTGGCTCTGGTTGCCACCCACCTGGTTTTTATTGGGGGGGACACAAAAATGGTGGAAAAATTGATCTTAATTAGCGGGTGGGATGGAAGTGATCAAGGCTACGGCCATTGGAGAAGGAAACAACTTCTCCAGCTGGACAGTGGTTTAGGTGAAGAGCAGCTTACTGAGCTGTACATCAACTCAGGTAAAAAGTAAATAGGAAGAGCACAGATTAGACATTGCCATTTTACTGAGATACCTCATGTTTATCACTGAGCATAGCCTAAAATCAGTTAAAATTAGACACATGGACTGTATTGTGCACGCACACGCGTGTGAAGGAACCCATAATTTAGTTTAAATTACCAGTTTTAAATCCTTCCCTCCATACTTCCTAGTTAGCTGGAATACAGTATTCAGCCAGAATTCCAACATCATCATACATCAATAATCAGAAATAATTATTTTAACTTTGTTGGGAAAATCGCAAAACAAACTGAACTGAAAATGATACTAGATGCCGCTGGGCTTCCTGGTTCTTCCCAGAAGCAAATCAGCAATAAACTGAAAGTAGGTCTAGCTCCAACTCGTGAATAACTCCAGTTTCAGTGCTTTCTCCAAAACACTGTGCCTCCGGTGAAAAGCTGCACACCATGATTAGTGGTAGGAGCAGAACTGTGATATATGACAAGGCCCAGATGTGTCTTGTTTTTTTAAAAAAAACCAAAGTAAAATCACAGACTGCATTAACAATGGCTGACCCGGTTGGTTTGTTGCTTCTCAGTGCATTTATCTGAAAATGTAGACTTTGAATTGAAACTTGAGGAAGGAATATTCATACAGCAAAAAAAGGAGAAGGTGTGGGTCATTCACCTTTTTGCGTTAACCTTTAGAATACTTCCATGCAGGACTTGTTGGTTTTTGTCTAAAACCAGAGAAGGTTTTTTTAGAGCATCCATACCCTGTCCCCTCTAATTGTCCACTTTCCATGTTTCCCCCACTTTGCTGTGATCTTCTTTCCCAAATGTGGTTTGCTATGGCCTTTTGGGAAAAATTACAGTCAAACCATGTTGGCATGCATGTGTGCAAAAATGCAGGAAAGTTTGCATTTTTTGCAGATCTTGCCCACATCAGTGCCACCAGCCCCCCCCCCCCCCTACTGGAGTGTTTGGGGAGGACTTTTCTTTTAAAAAAACAGTAATTAACATACTGGTGTCATGGAGAAGAAATGGTAGCTGCAGGAGTTTGGAGGAAACTACCATGTGGCTGCTCCATAGATGCTGCAAATGCCTCCGCATTCCCAGTGGCAATGAAAAAGACACAGAAAATCTTTGCTGTGTGGATGAGGCCTAATTGCTTGGCCACCTGAGCAGTCACCTTCTTGTTTTCATAACTTAGGGAACCTCACCAAGACACAGCTTGAGAACAGCTGGACTAAGGAAAAACACCTTCCCCCAAAGTGAAAAAGGTTAAAAATTAATCTTACATGTTTGAAGTTCCTGAATGGCACGAACTGAACAATGTCACGAAGAACAGGCTCTCCCTTGGGAGATCTCAGGATCCCATCGTCTCCATCAAGCATCTGCATGTCACTGAAGTCGGCATTTCCAACTCCAACGATGATGACCGACATGGGGAGATGGGAAGCGTGGACAATGGCTTCACGGGTGTCGGCCATGTCTGTGATGACGCCATCCGTCAGAATGAGCAAGATGAAATATTGCTAAAGGTTGTGAAGAGGAAAATCAAAATACTAATCTATTTGCATTCCTAACCACCACTAGGCTAAATATGTACCTTAGAGGTTTGTTGAATGGCTTTTATTTAGTATTTTAGGTATTTCATCGGGGGGGGGGTTAGAATAAATACAAAATTAAATACAGTCCTAACATACAGTGATTGCCTACCATGAATGGATATTGCAGCAGAATTTGCTTTCTAGAAAGACTCATGAAACCACTTATGTTGATTATCTTCCACCCACCCTTCAGAAAATCTTTGGGAAATGTCTGACAAAAACACCCTTATTATGATCACTCCTGTGTCTAACAGGGATGTAGCGACCATACGTCAAGCTGTCTTATACCGAGTCAGACCCTTTCCAGTATCTCAAGTACAGGTTTATTTACAAGAACTACTACATGATCCTTTTAATTGGAGATGCCAGGGATTGACCCCGGGACCTTCTGAACACCAAGTGGATGCTCTGTCTCTGAGCCACAGCTTCTCCCCAGACATTGTTGGGTACCAATGGAACATTTGGAATCAGTCACAGTGCAGGGAGGTAATATCAATGGTTCATTTACCCAATACACAACTTTAGACAGATGTATAATGTAGTTGTCAATCGCTGATGTACAAATTGTTCTAAAGATGGAATAACCTATAAACTGTTGCCCCAGCACTGATAAAGGTAGTCATCACTGTCACATTGAAAGCAATGGAATTTACAGAGTAGTCCTACACAGAATTACTCGGGGTTATAACCCATGTAAATCAATGAGATTAGACTGGAGTAACGCTGCATTGGATTGCAGTGTTAGCCACAATTAAATCAACTTGTTCTTTAGTTAAGAATGCTTTGAAAATTCTCATCTGAATTTCTCCCCAGATTTTGGAGTTCTGGATTACATTTTCCCCTCCGAAGTGGAACCGATGAACAGATAAGTCTCTGTTGTTTCAAATTTTTTTCCTGAATTTTATATAGAGCGGTAAGTATGTAGAGTTTTCTGCAGAATTCAGCTCCTTCCACTCACTTCCCTTATCCACATGCCTAATGTACAAGAAAGCTGTCTTGTTGTAATTACACATGTGATTGCTCCAAGATTTGGGGGGTGGGGCAGAGTTTTACCAGTAGACAAAAGTATGTGTATATTTCAGTAAAGAAGAATGTGCTGTTGAGTTGCAACAGATTCATGGCAATCCCAATACTGGGACGTTCCAGGGAAGGCAACAGCAGAGGTGGTTTGCCATTGCCCACTCTCTCTACCCATATAGATCCTGCCTTTCCTCATGGTTCAGAGTGGCTTATAGTGATAATTAAGAAACATTTCCAGTTAAAACCAAAATAAAATAACAACTCCAAGTCTCTCTCTTCCTCTTGCCTCAAAAGATTCCTGCCAATTCGAACCTCTCAAAATCCCAGATAAACAAGAAAGTCTTGCAGGGTCTCCTGAAGATCTCCAAGGAGGGGGGCGCTCCATACCTCTTCAGGGAGCCCATTCCATAGAGCAGGAGCCACAATGGGGAAGGCCTGGGCTCAGGTTGATGCTAGACAGGCAGCTTTAAGTGGCAAGCTAGCCAACACATGTCTGCCTGAAGACTGCAGTAGCAACCCCAGTTTGCGTACCAAGCCTGGATTTCCTCGGTGGTATCCCATCGAGGTTTCTAACTGTGGCTAACCCTGCTTAGCTTCCCAAGCGCTAACGAGTTTGGTTTAAGCCAAGTTATCTAGGCTGCTATATCAGCAGAACACCACATAAAATGATCTTTATGAAGTCAAACACAACGTAAGATCTAGACTGCTCTTTGTTCTTTTAAAAAAGGTTTTATGAAGGGGGAAAGACACAACTGAATGAACTGATCCTTAAAGGAAAGTTTGCACCAGTTTAGAATTCAGGAATTCTCATAGTTACATCAGAATCAAGGTGGCACTGTGAATGTTGGGAACGTCGGCGGAGAGGCGGAGCCAGGACGACACGCGAGCGTGGATGGCGCAGGTGGGGCGGAGCTACGAGGACTGAGCCAAGGCCGCGCTGGAGCATGCTGTGTGACAGAAGGGCCCAACCGATCCGCCACTGAAAGACCGCCAGAAAGGAGCCAGAAGCCGAGTGACGCCGAAGTCGACGTAGCCGACCTGGGAGAAAAACCCCTCCACTGGGTGCCGGTAGGGATTGTCCCCACCCCTAATAATTGTGGCCATAGGTTAGGGATAAATGAGTAACTGTAGCCGCTCAGAGACCCCTTAGGGGGTTAGAGCGGGGTAGTAAGCTGAAATAAATAAATAAATAAATAATAAAGGAACCAGACAAAAGTACTCATTCCTACTTGCAATGGGACACTAAAACCCGATCCTATTTATACCTACCCAGGAGTAAGCCCCACTGGGAAGTACGTTCCCTTGCCCTGACCTGGATGGCCCAGGCGAGCCCAGGTCTCATCAGATCCTGGAAGCTAGACAGAGCTGCCAGACCTCCCTGGTGGAGGTGGGGGTCCCTCGCTGCCAGGCCCGCCTCTGTGCTGCTGATCAGCTGGCTGGTGGGGGGAACTAACCCCCCCAAAAGAGGGTGATCCATCCGACATACAGTGACATGTCTACATCACTGTCCACGTGACCCAGAAGTGACGTCATCCGGGCCCGTAGTGTGAAAATGTTCGGGGTGGCACCAGGGGGCATGATGTCATTTCCAACATCACAAAAATAAATAAATAAGAGCTGGAGGAAGGGCTCCCTCCCCCCACCAGAAAACCTACAGTCTCCTCTGTTTCTCATCCAGCGCCAGGCAAGCTGCCGAGAGCTGGAAATAGAGCCTCCCTCCCCCTGCCCTACTGTTCCTTCAAGCAAGCAGCTGGCTGCACACTTCAATCAATCCCCCCCCGTATATATAAGGCAGCTTATAAACCCCCCCCCACTGCCGACTGTGGGAAATGGGAAGCAAGGAGCTGCTGGCTACTATGGAAATATGCTGGAAGGAAGAAACGAGGAGGGGCCACTGCCAGCTTATCCAAGGACTCAGCAGTGGAAATCACACATTTCTGGTGGGGTGGGTTCTAAGATTTGGTTGGAGGCATTAAAAATTCGGGAGGGGGCATGGCCTGGATGCCCCGCACTAGCTACAGCTCTGATATTCACACATCTGGGACACTGGGGTGATGCTCTGGTATTTGGGCAAAACCTCTATGGTAGAGGCCAAATTTACCACAGAGTTTTTGCCCAAATACTAGAGTGTCGCCCAATGTCCCAGATGTGATGACATCACTTCCAGTTCACGTGAGAAGTGATGTGGACATGTCGCTGAACGTTGGATGGGCCTCCCTGCTGCTCCCGGTAAGTCCCCCCCTTCCCCCTCCAGTTGCCAGGAGGCACCTGGCAGCCCTAAAGCTAAAGTAGGGTCTGCCCTGGTGAGTATTTGGATGGGAGACCACCAAAGAAATCCAGGGTTACTATGCAGAGGCAGGCAATGGCAAACCACCCCTCTGACCATCTCTTGCCTTGAAAATCCTCCAGGGTCACCATAAGTTGGCTGTGACATGAAAGCACTTTATACACACACAGAGGCTTATGATCTCAGCGGGACAAGGGCATATCAGGTTTAAAAAAGTACAGATAATTAAAGGGACACCATTCATGTCTTCCCACCAAGGGTTTAAAAATACATATCTGAGCTTACATTCATTCATATGTGTGTTATTAATAGCTACATGCACACACAGAAACCTGGTTCTGTACTGGCAGCAAGAATCAGTGTGCACTCCAATACCGTCCCCCCTTACCATGCTTTAACTAGGGTGGTAAATATTTGTTTGTTTTTTGTTTGTTTTATATCCCACCTTTCTCCCCATTGGGGACCCAAAGCAGCTTGCATCATTCTCCTCTCATCTGTTTTATCCCCACAACAACCCTGTGAGGTAGGTTAGGCTGAGAGTATGTGCCTGGCCCAGGGACACCCAGCAAGCTTCCAAGGCAGCGCAGGGATTTGAACCCGGGATTCCCAGATTCCTAGTAGTACGACACTCTCGCCGCTACACAGATTCAGACAGGTTAATTAACCGACGTCACATGTTTTTGAGAAGGCCACCAGAGCCAAAAGGCACAGGAAGCTCCGCCTAGCTTGCAGCCTGCTCTGATCCTCACCGAAGACTCCTTTGTGTTGGTTTCCTCCGATGCTGATTTCGCCACCTTCTGAATGATGGGCGCAATGTTCGTAGGCCCATACAGCTGAAGCTTCGGGAGGCAATTCTGATAGGCTTCGACAACTCCTTGAATCCCTGGCATTGAAAAGGCAAATAGTTAAACAAGCCGGTTATTAAGCAAAATATATCTGGGGCAATGTCTCTGAGATAAGTGAACATCATTCCTTCCGAATAAGTTTTTTCAAGTGATTCATGCAATTTCCCTCATGCAACTGATCTACTATCCTGCCAATTTATTCTGCACAGCTGTGAGTCTGAAAGATATTTTTCCCCCCAAAGCAGCTCTCCCCTGCTGACCTGACCTCTTTTAGATGTTATGTAATATATAATTCATGAACCCACTCTTCTCTTTTTGCCAACAGCATTTAATGTGCGCTTTCTAGATATTAAATGTATGGTCTTAACACGCTGTGCAAATGCATTCAATTTATATTCAGCAGCAGTTTTAAACGGACATTTGGATACCAGCAATTATTCATATTTCACAACTGTAAATCCTTAATTACTAGATAGCGATGACTTGGTAGCATTTCTTTCTCCCTTGTTCCAGTTGGTCTAATATTTAGAAACAAAGTAATCAGCGGCAGTTCTGGTTATACTTTCTAAATTAGGCTGGAGATCACCCGGAATTACAGCTGGTCTCCAGCTGACAGAGATCAGATCACAGGGAGAAAATGGCGGATATGGAAGTTGGTCTCTCTGGCATTATACCCTGCTGAAGCCGGTCCCCTCCCCAATCCCCACCCTCCCCAGGCTCCACCTCCAAAATCTCAAGGATGTAGGGTGAACTTGGAAGGGTGATCACATCCTCTGTCCTAGTCCCCAGCCACCATGTGTTGATTCAAGTAGGAAGAGTAGATATGACCCCTCTTTTTCCTCAGGGAGTCAAACGTACACAATATTTGAAGCTTACAGCTTTCTGGTACAAGCCCATAGTTATCAAAGTAACTTGGCACATCAGAAAAACAGGAATCCTTGGCTCTTATAGAAAATATATATTCACCGTGTGTTTCATTATTTAAAATATTTATCACCTTTCAAGGTGACTCAGTCAAGAAAGATAAAACAATCCTCTGCAATTCATTCTTACAATAGTTGGTCATATAATTGTTCTCATTTGGTCTGTTCAACTGATCATTGACTTATAAATTACCCTTTATAACTAATTAACTAGCTGATTGAAATAACAGTTTAATGCTGATTATAGCAGAAGAAAATTTTATGTTCTGCCTTTCATTCTCTGGAAGGGTGTCTATCCACTGTAACCATTATTTCTGCCTCATCTATTTTCACATCTAAGAGAGCTTAATTAACTGCCACAACAAATGACATGACATAAAATTAAGTATGTTATGCTATAACATGACTGTTACCTGCACATTCTGGGTTGTCTTCATTAAAGTTGATTGCAAAATCATGAGAGACCTACAGAACACACAAACCCCAAATTAAATACAATTTTAGTTTAGCAAAGTGACAGAGGTGTTTTCCAGTAGCAGATATACAGTTCAAACAAGCTATCTTCATTCGAAGAATCACTAACACATGTGTTTTCAAAGCACAATATTTTTTCTTCACATGCATGTGTTTGACCGCTTCACAGCTGTGGGGCTTTCATTATGCATGGGTGTAGACTGCTTGTGCATTACTGAATCATTAGAGAAACACTGCTCTGTTTGTAGATCTCTGACTGGAGGAGCTAGCCAAATTAATAACAGGTATTATCATAGAAAAAGAGCTAGGGGAACTCATTAGCATAACTCATTAGCATATGCCACACCCCCTGACATCACCGGAAGTGTGTCGTAAGACCACACACCCCGCTCCCAATGGTCCCGGCTGCCGCCACCGGCCTTGCAGCTCCACTGCCGAGCCCCATGAACATCATGTGCCCCGCCCCCTGTACCTCACCCAGGGGAACTGCGATCCCCCGCAATCCCCCCCCTGAAATGACCTCTGGGTATTATACTACTCCATCCACAATCACAGTTTGAGGCAAGCTAATTCCAGTCTATATGTGCATGTATATGTAATTTAGCATTCCTGTAAATGCTTGTGGGCGAATATTGGTATTAGATGAGTACATATCCCTCCAGCGACATGTCTTTCAAGTTTTTTTTAAAAAAGAGTAACATTTCAAATTAATACTTTGTCAGTTTTTTAAAAAATTATACAATATTCTTTCCTGGCCACTTTGTGCCCCGTTCTTTCTCGGGAGCACTACGCTCCTGGGTCCTGTTCCTTGAATCACAAAAAAATTGATAGCTCATCCCAGTGCATTCACAAACATATTTCTCCCAGCAATGACACTGTTTCCATCTTTTAGAACAGGAGTAGCCAGAAGATCACTTGGGAGTGACCAGTCATTGTCCAAACAATTAAAAGTAGCTGTGTGCTCTTCCTCCAGTGCAACCCTAATCACTAGCTTATCCTTCCCCTTTAAAACTACTGCAGCAGCTTTTCTACCCCTTTCATGTCATGCAAAGATGTATGAGGCACGACCACACATGTACCTTTGTTCTGTATGAAAAATGAGTGTGCTATTGATTCTATCAAACATGTAGTTTTCTAAAAATAATTTTTGTATCAACGGGAAGTAAAATTGAGTGGCATGGGGACTCTGTTAACTAATAATGCCATGTGACATGCCAGAGGCCTTCAGATTATCTCCGATGGCACAACCTGGGTTTGCAACTCCTAATTAAGCATACATTTATATAGGGGTCATTTCGTAGAAAAAGGTGCAGGAGCTCATTAGCATAACTCATTAGCATAACTTATTTGCATATGCCACACCCCCTGACATCACCGGAAGTGTGTCAGAAGGCAACACCCATTACTCAAGCTCTACTGGACTCTTTTGGATTGCTAGCTATTGGGGGGGGGGACACACAGACCTGCCCTCACAGAGGAGGGAGAGCTTGTACCTGAATAAACCTTAAAGGTTGTCGGTGTCGCGTGTGGGGGGGGGGGGGGCTCTGCAACTTACCTGGCTGCTTCTTGCTCCTTGTGGCCCGGGGCTGCTGGGAACGGGGCGGGGCTTGTTGCATGTGCCCGCCCCCTGGGCTCTTTACTGCCGGAGCTCCTGCAGGAAATGACCCCTGCATTTATGTAATTTGAGCAGAGAGACTCAGAGTGATTTCTCACCAGCGACCCCTACATTGTGCTATATACACTAAGAGAATGAGAAAGATTCACCTGTACACCTACTTTATAGTCCGGAGGTATCCTGGCTCCAAAACCATAGACTGGGAACATTTTATCGCTGAAGACAAAACACAATAGTAACACATGATGTTTTCTTACATTAAATCAATTTGATTTGTTCATGAAAACATTCCTGAGTAGAAGAACTTAGTTACCTCGGGCATGACATTCATTCATTGCTTTTTATGGCCCTATTCAGTTGTGATGTCTTACCACACAGATGGGGAGAAGATGCTGCACACGGTCCTCCCAATATGTGTGGCTGTCATTTTGTTTGAAAGGGGCAGGGTGTTCCCATATTTTGGGAGGTTCACATGCTGTGAGTTCTTCCCCGTAGGTGTGGTAAAACCACTGAAAGGGACTATGTACAAAGAAACTTGTTCCTCCACCTCCATGTCCACAGTATGTTTATCCAAAGAATATGAAGCATAGATATTATTATCCCCGGCTCCTTCCTCACAGTTGCTTTCATGGATTTCCTGTTCTGATTATCTCTCTTTTTTGGCATGCTGATTGTCACATATTACCCAGACTATTCCTGTTTTACAAGGCCGGTATCCGCCGCCAGTGCTTGGTCTGTAAAGAGTGCCAAGTAAAGGCTAAAAGCTAATCTAAGATCTCTTTCATTCCACCAATATCCAGCAAACTTTCTCAAAGCAGGCCACGAAAATTAACAGGGACAACATTATCACTTAATTCCGACTGGGTAGGACTGTGCAAGCTGCTGTTTCACTGATTCAGTTTCCTTTCTGTGTACTAAACAAGAAAATGCCACGGTTGTTAGTACCACGGCAACTCACCAGTGAAAAAAGGACCCTGAAGGTTTTGTGGACTTTCCTCCCTTAGTTGTTTCATGAAAAGCAGCAGATATACTCAGCATCTTTTTGGAATGGTTTAGGTATCCAACAGTGTCTTAGGAAAAGACTAAAGTAAAAAAATTTTTTGGGGGGGCTACTATTGTATTATGGCGCCATATGGGTGCTAGGTTTTTATAGGATTGTATTTTAAATGTGGAGCTGCGGTGGCTCAAGTGTTTAAGACGCTGAACTGCAGGCTGTGGGAGGTCAGTAGTTCAGCGGTTCAAGACCCGGGTGCCGCAAGACAGGGTGAGCTCCTGTCTCTAGTTCCAGCTCCTGCCAACCTAGCAGTTCGAAAGCAAGAAATTGCAAGTAGAAAAATAGGGACCGCTTTGGTGGGAAGGGAACAGCGTTCCGTGCGCCTTGGTGTTTAGTCATGCCGGCCACACGACCACGGAAACGTCTTCAGACAGCGCTGGCTCTTCGGCTTTGAAACGGAGATGAGCACCGCAACCCTAGAGTTGGATTCGACTGGCTTTCGAGCAAGGGAACCTTTACCTTTACTTTTTTATTTTAAATTACTTACCGGATTTTATATGTATTTTATGGATAACTGTTATATACAGCCCTGAACCCGCTTATGGGGAGGGTGGAATAAAAGTCTAATAAAATAAATAAATAGGTCCACTGGATGTCTTTGAAAGAACAGATTGACATACAACCTGACCTGGACACGAAACCAGATCCTAAGTAGTTTTTATTGAGAATAAGTCCCATTGAGCTCAGTGAGATTTGCTGCCAAGTAAGTGTGCGTTGAATTGCAGCTTTAGTATTTTCTACAAACTGAATACTGAATACTATTTAGAATGTATGGACAGCTCTACTGTATCACGACCAAGGACAATTTAAGGCAAGCATTCTGTCTCCCACAACAGTCAAACAGATGCCACCATGAAGACCAGAACCCCCCCGTTTCCAGCTCCATTCATTAATTGATATTAAATGGTGTGCTTTCTCTGAATTTGTAGATACCAGACCATCCAGCCGCCATGGATCTTACCTGTTGGTAGATCCATCCTCCATGAACCTTCTAATCTCCTTTCAAAACCATCTAAGCTAGTGGCCATTTAGTAGGAGCTATTTCTACAAACTAATTATGAATTGTATTAAAAAGTTCATTTTTATCTGTTCCTTAATCTTTTGCCCATCAGATTAATTAAATTACCTAAAATGTGAGTAATATAGAAAGGGAGACAAAACTCTCTCTGTCCACTGTCTTCCCACCATGTACACTTTTATAAGCCTCTATCATGTCCTGCTGTCTTAGATAGCACTTTTCAAATAAAAAGCCCCAAACTATTTTGACTTTCTTCATAAGGAAGGCACTTCAACCCATTGATCATATCAATTCTTTCTGACTGTTTCCAGTGCTATGATATCATTTTTCAGATGAGGCAACCAGAACTGCATACAATATTTCAAATGTGGCTACACTGTTATACAAGGTCATCACAATGTTGGTTGCGCTATTTTCAATGCCATACCTAGGAAAGGGACTGAAAATAGAAATAGCTAACATTATAATGCATACTAGACATAAATGATGCTAGAACATTCGCTTGTTTTTACAAGTGCAATGTGCAAGTACAATTTTTACACAAAACAAGTGCTCTCCTATAGTATGTTACTGCTGCCCTCAGTAGAATGCAACTGTGTAAACTGTAGAGCTTTGTATTGCTAGCAGCTCTCAGAGATAAGGGGTAGCCTAGCACATTTTACACTGTAATGAGACTTTCTTTACAAGCAGTATGGAAAACAAAGTAGGTGGTGAAATGTAATTTTATGTTAATCATGTACTGATTGCCTTTTCTTTGATTGAGCTGGTGGAAATGGGGAAATCCTGTTTAATAATCAGGAATTGATATGCGAAAATGTTCAAAAGACTAAGAACAAAGTGAGAGCAAGAAGACTGAAAACTCATGTTCTAACAAAGAGGGATCAGAACAGGATTTGGACGCCCATTTTAAAATGAAACCCATAAGAATACTAAAATACTCTCGGGGGCACAATGTTTATGTATATGTGCAAAATTGTACAGCAACTCTGGTGTATTCACTTGGTTAATAAAGCAGCAATGGACTCTTACTGTGTAGCAGACCTACACACATGCAAGTGTTACCAACTATAGCTTGGGAAATTCCTGGAAATCTGGGGACAGGGCTTGTAGAGGGCAGAGCTTAAGGAGGGGAGTCAGCGGGGATGTGATATCACTCTAGGGGTAATATTTCTCCTAGTCTATATCATACACCATAGTGTCCACCCTCCAGAGATGCCACTTCCTCCCGGGTAGTCTGGAGATCATTTGTAATTCCTGGAGAACTCCATGCCCACTTTGAGACTGAGATAAGCACAGC